ATGCCCCGCTCCTCCTGTGATCGTGTGAGTCGCCCCAGGTCACACGTAATAGAATACTCAACGTTGAGGTAGCTCAACGGTGCAAGTGGGACATGGCCCCCGGTCTGCCGGAGGCAAATGAGTGACAGTGTTAGCCAAAACAAGGCCCGCGCGTTTTTTAATTTTTTTTTTTTTAATTTTTTAATTTTTTTAAATTTTATTATTATTATTATTATTATTATTATTATAGTGCACTATGAGGCTCGGCAAGGGAAGGGTCGAAAGTACTGGTGGTTTAAAGTTGAAGTACTTTGTTCTGCACATAGGGGGCTTGAGCCCCGCATGCGTACGTCTGGGAATTCCTCGAAGCAAGTTGGGGACTGTTGGGGCTCGGCACGGCGTACTTTTTTACAAATTTCACTCGAAGCACCATCCTAAGCGCTGAAGAGGGAGCTTGGGCTCAAATGTGGCAAAATGTGTTCTGCGCGTGCTCGCATGTTATCATTCATTATAATAAGCAGCCCGATGAGATGGTCTCTTCTGTGAGGAATTTCCCTGAAATGTACAAGGCCGAGAAACTGGACCAGGACCATTGTTACTAGTTTCTCAGCGAGTACTGTTACTGCAGTGCAGTCGGTAACGGCGGGACTCTGGAGTGTGGAGTCCCGTCAGTCCTTTTTTTTTTTTTTTTTTTTTTTTGGTGTTAAACACACCCCCACGTGCTAGTGGTGCTGGTTTTTTTTTTTTTTTTGTTTGTTGGTGTTAAACACCCCCCCACGTGCTAGTGGTGCTGGTTTTTTTTTTTTTTTTGTGTGTGTGTGTTAAACACCCCCCCACGTGCTAGTGGTGCTGGTACGAGCAGACACCGCTAGCGTCTGGGAGGAGGCTAGCCCCGTCAGTCATTACGTCGCTTGTGCCGCTATTCAGCGCTGAGGATGATGCTTCGAGTGAAATTCATTAAAAGTACGCCGTACCGAGCCCCAACTTGCACCAGAGTGGCCCGGGACCACTTGCCCGGCTGGGCCAAAAACAAAACAAAACAAAAAAACAAATAGAAAATGTTTTTTTTTTTTTTTTTTTGGAAATTTT